CGTAAGTTACGAATAGAGTAGTAACTGACCGGTGCCGTGCAGATGGACGAGGAAAATATACCAGCTGAGGGAAAACAAGAGGTGAGGGTAGATACAACACTGGACAGGCCGAGGGACCCGGAAGCGACCCCAGTGACGAGCAAGTCTCCACGTGGACAGACAAGGCGCATTTTCCCCGCCGCGTGGAGATGCGCTAAGCGCCTGTTACTTTGTAGTGGCTACCGAATAAAATTAAATCAGCAGTGTTCTTACCCCCTCCTCTTCAGTTGTAAAACACCTGGATAAGACGGCGGCGACGTTGGGAGTGGTACGTGAAAGAGGACTTTGAACATTTAAAAACTATTGTGCTCCTTAAAAAATACTATTGACCGTCAAAAACATAGACATATTATCTTCACAATAATAACACGTGTACTGAGTCGTTAATTCAGATGTATTATAGTATTTTATTGTTACAACACATAACGTTACACGTAACTATGTATATTTTCTGTATACATACTATATTATACCTGCTCCAAGTTGATACATATAGGTATCTTTTTGCTCCAGGAAAAAACCCCTTTTATATATAGATGGAGTGATAAATAAATCACAAATGGGGTGTGTGAAGTAGTTTTGCCGGGCATCAAATTTTAGTAGTCTTTCTTCTTAGAAAACATTTACCAACAAGACGATATAAAACAAATGTCTTAATTCTCTTTTGAAAGTGGGGTTTTCGACGAAATATATTGCCTTGCGGCGGTGGTTTTAATCCACCCCAATGTATGTACACGGCTGTCGGCTACTCACATAAGCTATAAGGATTACAAATTACCGCTATACATAATGCGTGGTTAAATCAAAAACTTCGATCAGTGAACTGTGAGTGTTATAATATGATTTCACGTGACACGTTGGATTTTTAACCCCATCTTAAACAAGTCCAAAACATAATCATACTATCTTATATTAAAAACAAACATGTACATTAATTAATAAATGCATGCATACAATTTTTTTGCTATAATTATATTATGCTAGTCCCACAATAATCCTATTAAAAACACTTGTGAGTTACATATTGAATAATGTCCTAATCCAATCTAGTAACACACTCTATACATTATAGTCTCTATAAATCAATCTATTTCCAAAAAATAACACTCATTTACATAGTAACCACCCATCACTCAAGCACATATGAAGTATGTACACAACAAATATTATGGATAGGTACAGGATTTAAAAACAAATTAGAATCAAACTGTTTTAACCTCGGGGTCTTTGACCTATTGACTAGTTCCATATTGTCCATATTTTCGAGTATTATAGCTCCAATCGACTTATTATTGTGAAAATTGTATTAATGCAACGGAAGTGGTCTATATAAAAAGATGTATAGTTGATCTATACTATCTATTATCTATCTAACTATATAAGCTGTCAAAAGCACTTTGATAAATTTGAAAAATTCAATATTATAGTTTACGAAGAACAGAAAAAAATATGGCGTTGTTTGAGAAAAAAAGTTTAGGAAAAACTGAATTAAACAATACTGTTCTTCTATATATAACCTAATGATCTCAAAGCCTCTGCGAGCCCACGCTTCACATTTCTTTGGGACGTTTTTCAAGACTTTGAAGTTTGAACTCTTGGTCATCTTCATCTATCATTTTATTATGTTTTAATGTTAAATATATACATTTATTTAAGCCTGATTTTGTTGAGTTTCTTATGCCAACTTTACTATAGTTTTCTCTGGCAGCGACTGGAATACATTACTCTTCCTCGTCGAAGAAACTGCATTCTATGGATTCTGTAAAATTAAAACGCATACAGTGTGGACTGAAAATAGTCATTATTATAATTTATAAGTATACAAGGGTTCGAGTAATAATAATAAATAATAAATAATAATATTATTATTTCACAATTAAGTACAAAATATATGCTTACATTGACTTATAAATTGTTTTTGTGCAGATTGTAAATTATATTCTTAATAATTAATGTTAAAAATAATGTTGCTCTGTTCCTTATGAATCATGAATATTGTTTTTACAGTATAATTTCAGCAAATAATAATATTTTTCTTTATGTACCTACTTCCTATCGGACAGTTCCTATCAACCTAATACAAATACTGAAATACTACAATATTGTAATTTGTAACATATGATAAACATTTCATTTCAGTTTACTTCAATTATATGTCATTTTGTCATTTTTTTTTATCGCAATAATATAGTTGCATAATCATTTAGATAAATAATTGTATGGACATGGCTGCATTTATTAATTTTTCCAACAAACCACGCCTTCGCAATGCTACTCTCTTATCTAATTATACTTAAATGGATTTCCTTTTTTCCTTCTGAAAAATCAATATTTACATATAGTTTACATATATACACTTTTAATGAAATTATACATATAATATTATTTATTAACTGTGTTCAATATTTACACATAGGACAAATAGGTATAATATTTCTCTAGAAGTATTTCAGCCACCTCCTAAAATGTTCCACCTGGGGTAATTACCCCTATTGGTCTCTCTTAATTGCGGCCCTAATGTATTTAATAATTTACCGTGTAATAAAATATACCTATATTTAATTATCTCACAAATTTGTGAATATTTAAAATTATATAGATACAGGTATATGGAATTCTACTCACGAATAAATAAATTATCCCTGAATATCCCTACTATAATATATGTAAGTAGTGACAAAAAGTTTTGAATCCCTACAAATAATATTTTTTGAATTACCATAGAATAAATAAATTTTTTATTTTTAGTTTAATATCTTATTATGTCATAATTTTAACTTGAAATATCTATAAAAAAAATTGTGAATTTGTATTTAAGAGATTTTTATAGGTTTCCAGAAAAAAACTTTACGAGGAACCTTGTATTAAATATTCAAGACTTGTAGCTATTCAAATTTAAAATTTGTATTCATCTTTAACAAAAAATCATTTGCACATTATTGCGATTCTTACACATTTTTTCAACATAATTTAAACTACAAACACTTATAAAAAAAATTGCACCTGAGTCTATTTAATAATTTTAAATTCTATTAACTATAAGTACATCTTATGTGGGATCTTCAATTAAATGTTCAAGTTTTTTGACAGAGACTTAACAATTAACATTCTTACAAATGTTTAAAAAATAATAAAATGCATGTCTATCTACAATCATTCATTCTAACACAAGTCCATACAATCGTTATTTTTCATTATAACAACAACAAAAATCGAATTGACCGAAATCTGGGTTAGCATAAGAATTCCCGTTTTTCTTTAATTTTTTTTTAACTTTTACTAATTATTTTGACCAAGATATTTTTTACTGAATGCAGTATACTAAGTGAACGTGCGGAGTCTAGAAAGTAAAATATATTATATGTTTATGCGACCAAACACCAAATACATAGTGCTACCTGTTCCATCGACCCTTGGATAATGTCACAAGTATACTTAGGGGTCAAATTATTCCTTAACAAATAATGAAATGTCTCTATCACCTACCGGTGTGGTAAAGACAACTGTCAACTGTCATTTATAAATTGCTTGTACACGAGATAGATTAAATAATTGACTTTGGCTAGTACTATATTATTTAGTTCGATTTCAACTGTGGTGGAATTTTTTTCCTGGTAGGTGAAGTGGTGGGATCGTGGTCCAGAAGTAGTGGTGATATAGATAATGTACGTTATGTTTTCGTACGTCACACTGGTGCAGATGATTTAAATAATAACATAATAACACGGCGCTTTGTCTAGGCAATTTAACTACCCTACTGGTCATCCGTCCATTTTACCAATCTGTTTCTGACCTTTATTATGTTTTTACTTTTTATTAGTAAGTTATTCACATACGAAATATAAGTCCAATTATGTACATTATATATAGAAAATAAAATAATATAATGTTGGTGCTAAAGTGCTTGAATAAGTAATAGTTAATTTCAAGGTTCAAGAAATATATATTTCTTTCTTAGGTACCAAATAAAAAAAAAAAATTTATGGGACTTACAATAAGTTCTATGTACATGAAAATAATAGCAACTACTTGCAATAAATAGTAAGTACTAGCAATCAAAGCAATGCTAGTTATTTTAAATAACTGTGACCAATAACAAGTACATCCAACTATCCAAGTTGCAACCAAGAACCATTGCAAGTACATGCTAATTAATGCACTTCACATCGATTTACTTCTTGAATATATACAATTTTTTAATGGACAAATATTATGCCTAAATAAATATAACTAAATAATTTATTTTTCTAGTCTTAACATTTACTTACTCATATTTTAATTCTACAATATATTATATTTTATTTGTAATTAACATTTTCTAAAACACTTAAATTGAAATAAAAGTAATTAAATGTAGCCATAAAATATTTTTAAAAGTTTTCCATAATTTTTTCACTGCTAAATTTCAACTATTTGCAAACATTTTTAAAATTTGGTTTTTTGTAATATGTGAAGGAGTGAACTACTTAAAAAGTTCGTATTGAAATATCAGTTACCATACTTGAAAAAAACAAAAAATGTGTTATTGTTCAAGTAAAGTAAAAAGCTTGAAAATTTTAGATATAATATGTTGTTTTGTTCATTATAAGTTTTTGAGAATACCTATAGTTATTATTTAAAAAATTATTGTTGTTTAGTAGCTTACCTTTAAACTACACTCCTTAAAATATTATTATAAAAATATAGTTTAATTGTAATTAATTCCCAGTGTTCTCACCAAACTCTGGTGGGTGTGGGGGACACCCACGACACTCCCCCACTTTCCAACTTATAAAACTGTATTGACTCCCACTTCCATGAAATGCCTGAGAACGCCCTTGTATAGGTACGTACGATTGTTCAAATAATTCAACCAATATCTAATTTTATTTTATTGTTATTCCAGCTCATTCTGGTATTGCATATTGTGTTAATTTGTGTAACAGTTATCACTTATCACAATAATGTATAAACATTTAAAATCAATATTGTAGTCGTGGTCCATCTAAATCCGATAAGTGATTCATGTCGAGATCTTTATTATTATCTACCCGTTTTGTTATCAACAGTTTTGATAACAATCTTCTTATCTGCGCCCGTCTGCTATCACAGTTTGGTCGTCCTCGTAGTACAACTCCCACCCCGCCGACCATGGTAAAATCACAGTAAAACACACCTTTCCCCCCGCCCGCGACCGATCGGTGATCCGCGCAGTAGTCGCAATCGTACGACAGTGAGTCATGTTTTCTTTTCGCGAATCCACACCGTACGGGGAAAACGTCGTGCATTTCCGGTAGCCCCTGTTGTACCACTCGACGGTAATCGTCGTCATTTCCCGTTAATTTTTTTTCCGTATTTTTTGTATCTATAGTACGTCATTTTTCCGGTTTTCCGGAATATCGTTCGTAGATCAGTTTAATCTTGATTGGCACTCATTGACGTTCTTTCGGATTATTTCGCGCACAGTCCTTCCCATCCGTAAACGTGTGTACGCGCCAAAAATGTAAACAGATTTTCCTTCTGGACGTGCCGAATTCGTGTCAAATATACCCCCCGAGTTTATCGTTGAGCTGTGAGTGATTAAAAATTATATGTTTGGCCGACCGTCGTCGGTGGGCAGATGACTTGTGCGGCCGCGTCTGTGTCGTACGTCACGACGTTTCAACGACAGCAGCAGTTGTCCGTCCGTGCGGCGTGGCTCAACACTAGAGAAATGGCCGAGGCCCTGAACACGAGCCAGAGCTAAAAATGGAACTCGCCGCCGTCCCGTTGCTGTGGTTGTGTTTGGTTTCGACCTGGATCGAATCGTCAGCATCGTATCCGATCGGAGGTGATGGCAATGTTTATAATGATTATTGTTTTAATTACCACTTAAATCAGTTTTCCTGTACATGATAATTCATTTTTAATGTTTTGCTAGACTTTGAGTAGGTAGAGTCCGACCTGGCCGTGCTGCCATTTAACTCCAGTCGATAGAACCCACAACTTTAAGGTGTAACACTTAGAGATACATGTAACTGCCTATGTGTAATAAAATTACGCAATTATCGTTCAGTCTATGACTAGTATTATTGCAAAGAATTTTACAATACTGAGATAAGAAATCTTTTTCAATCCAAGATATGTACTCGATTGTTTTTTACATAGGTATTACCTGGTATTACCTATATGATATGATTTTATCGAAGTACCCACTACCTATGAAGGTAATTTTTCACAAGTTGTCTTCAATACTTTATTTAAAACACTTTCTACCTACTTACTATGTCATACATAGGCACACATACATTTTGTTTCCGTAATAAAAAGCAGTATTAACGTTTCATCGGTACTTAAAACTAAATCATTTATTTTACAATATAACTCGACGACAAGTAGGTATCAATTGATTTAGAACTTGTGTAATCTAAGTATTTTAATTTGTTAAATTCAATAAGATTATGAGGATTTATTAAGTATTTGAAGTAATAAATATTACTATATTATGCTAAAGAAATTTAAATTTCCTAAACATCCACTTAATTACTTCTATTACATGTAGGTAGTAGCTACCTTTGTTATTGAATTTTAGATATTAGGATAGATACCATATTAGATACCTACTTAATTTTAAATGTTTTAGGTATACATTTTGAGATTTAATCTACCTATTGAGTTGAAAAAATTGCATAACAATCATAAGTGTTTGTACATTTTTAAATGAATATTTTATTCATGATTTTCATATTACTGTGAATATCTCTTGTAAAAAAAAAAATAGTCATTACCTAGATAAAATTCTTCATTTAAGATGTCTCGTTGAATATTTTGTTTATCTCTGTATACCTACTATATTCTGTACCTATATTCACTTTTTATTAAAGTTATTGACCTAGGTACCTATTATCAAATGATATGAGAAATTAAATTTTAGAATTAGGTATTTAATTGAATACCAATGTACCTATACCAAAACTTAATTTAATCTTTTAAATGTCCATTGACATTTGTGATATTAAATTTGAAAATAAAGTATGAAATGTACCTATTGGTATATAAAAACCTCGATAAAAACTAGTTGAACTGATTGGACTATTGCAATTTATTATTGTGTATTTGAATGTTGGTATTCACTTTGTAGGCTTCAGTGTCGGGTATGTTACTTTTTAAAAATAACCATGTTATAAAAATAGGTAGGTAAATTATAAGTTCCAAAATAAATAGATAACTAGGTAACTTCTTGGTTACTTCAATACAAATGTAATGTGTTAGTTATACTTTACTGTTTTTATCCAAAATAAAGTAACTACCTAGTTCTATATAGTTTCAATGTGGTTACTTACTTTTGATTAACTAACCTATACATTTTGTATCAATATTTATGACACTTATCAGTTCATCACTTTAAACCGAGATTTAAACATATACCCTTTTTTGATAGGTATAAAATATATCCCATGTTACTCTAGATAGTCTTTTGACTTAAGGGGATTCGATACCGTGATTTTCTGTTTTTGTCTAACACTCGCGTGACATAGTATTTTAGACGTGTTTTTTCCCAAACATTCCAATTAATCTATTGAAGCGATAAGATTTCTGAAAACAGATTTGAATTTGTCGTCAAGTCTACTTGAATCAACTTTCCCACATTTTTGATTTTTTGATTTTAACTTCTCCAAAATTTGAAATAACAGAATTTTTAAATACTCTTTTTGAATATTATGACCTTTTAAAAAAATTGGGGGGTAATATCAAAAATGTGGGAAAGTCGATTTCAAGTATACTTGACGACAAATTCAAATCTGTTTTCAGAATTCTTATCGCTTCATTAGATCAATTGGTATGTTTGGCAAAAAACACGTCTAAAATACTATTTCGAGCGTGTGTTAGACAAAAACAGAAAATCAGGGTATCGAATCCCCTTAAGTTTTTAAGGAAGTTATGCCTTGATCTTCTACTCTATATGAAAATTACAATATTCTTAACTAGGTAATATAAATTCTAATATAAAGACTTAATATAGATACCTGAATAAAATGTAAGGTAATTGATTATTTTAATTTCAAATACTCCAGCCTTTCAATGAAGTCATTGACAGTACTCGATATAATATTCACCTATGGGTTAATATCTAAAAATAAATCATCTACTACATAAGTGCAGCTACCTGTGCTATATTCATGTTGATAACTAAACCTACTCATCAATCATTATCATCTTTTTTCCAAAAATACAAATTTTAAATAATATTTTCACAAAAAACACAATTTACACTTTTAGTTAGGTATAATAGCTATAATATAGTTTAATAAGTTGTTTAATAAGAAACATTACGTGTGTGTATTATAGCACTGTTATTTTGTAAATAATTTTAATTCCTATCAAAATTACTTTAGCATTACTTAAAAAAGGAGCTTTTATAGACTTATAGTAACGAGTAACATATTATGTTATGTTACTAAGTACCCAACACGGGTATTATTATGTTCTAATCTTTCTCAGTAGCAATAGGTAACTATCAAATCTAATGCCAAAATAAGATTTCACTTAGTTTATAAAAATAGCAATATGTACCCATATTTTTAAACGACAGCCTAACTCTAATATTACTCAAATGTAAACATCTCATATGAGTCTATGAAGTTTGTCTATTCAAAACTAATTTTTAAATTTCAAACAACTATAGGTAACTGGTTCTGTCCCATTAATGTTTAAATCTTCTATATGTTTTTCATGACTTATAAAATAAATATTGATAATATTTATTGTTCTATACAAAACATAACTTACCTAAAAGCTCATCAAAAAATTTTTATTAAACCAGTTTTTTTTATTTTTAAACATTGATATACCTAAATTATAACCATAACAAAATGTTTGATAATATACTCAAGGATATACTAAACTAAAATAAAATATTTTTTTATATAATATATACAAAAATAAAGTGTTCCCTAGTTAGTAGTTATATTGTCAGTTGTCACTTACAGTCTATAGAGTCACTTATAATAGGTGATTTAAAAACCAATTTTTTTTTAGTTGGTACAAAATACTAACTATAATCATCTCACTCAATAAAGTTACCCTTTTCTCCTTTCCCAGCTTAAAATAATAGCAGATACTAATGTAGGGAACAATAAAAAAAAGTAACTCAATTCAGTAATCCATAGTTGATTTAAAACATTATGACAAAGTACAATATTATTATAATCCGTTTTAAATTAAATATTGAATCCTTATTCAAACTATATCCAGACTTTTATTTATGTAATGACTAATGACCAACACACAAAGTAATTATTTTGGCTGTCCATTTTTATTACACCTACTATTTGCTAATATCTCAGCTGAATAAATAAACAGTCAACTCTACTGCTCATGAATTCTAAAAATTAACCAACTAAATAGATACTCAACTTTTTATTGTTTCATATTCTATAGGTACATTAGGTATACATATGACATATGTTTATATGAAATAAAAATACCTTCATTGTTACCTATGTCCTATATCATTATATTTAAACAATTAATTTGTGAATTTATAGTGGTTTTTTAATAAGTTATTGATAGGTACCATACTTAATCCTCCAGTTATTTGAAAATAGTAGATAATGGTTATAAAAAAAAGAACCCTCCTTAGAATACCTAATTAAATTCTCAAGTTAAAATTAGAAACCTATAGGTAGTAATATTTTTATTTTGTATCCAATTATCTATTAAAATTACACTGGGGTAACATCTTCATATTAGATAAATTCATAGACCTATAAACTAATGGACAGCTCTTAGACAGAGAAACCATCGGACAATACAGGTGAGAGAGAAAGAGCTATGCATTGAACGTTACAGTGTTTTCTCACTCACTATCTCATTCCCGTGAACTGGCAAGGTCTGGTGATAGGCGCAATTCTGTCAATTTGTTAATAGGTATAATAGATAAATGATAATATTTAGTATTGGGAACCTTTCAAAATTTATTCGATTTAAATTGATACAACAATTGTGTTTTTAAATATTACAACATGCACAATATATGATACATAGGTACCTTATTCTACAAAGGTTCAAGGTTGGCAATAGAGTAAATTATCTTGCATATTATAAAATTTGGAGATACGTTGAGAACATAAGCAAACAATAAGTACTATAACTATAATTATTTATGTATTGTTTTTTTTTAATCTGTTATGTTTTAAACAATAGTTATATACTTATATGCCTTGTCATAATAAACACATTTGTTTATTATTCCTACGATATTCATACATAAAAAAAAATTATCTGTTGCATGATCACATAGCTTATT